ATTTTCCACACCTGCTATTCTTCACGATTGACAAGACTCAAAAGGCAGAACCAGCCTGTGTTACAAGCCTGCACAACAAGACCGACGGGACGAACAGCATCATCTGTATCTTGCTGAGAGAGCTCTTCTTGGACGAAGCTTTGTTTAGCTCGTTTTCCTGCGCCACTCCACACATGCCGTAATACACAAACTGTCCCCTTAAATGAATCTGGATGTTCCCTGAACGAATAATCAAAAAGGGTAAACAGAAAAAATGAAAGGCATAATAGCAGCTCAGCTCGAAGAGAAGTGACGAGAAACAGCGCTCGAAAGAGATGCTTGTTTTTCGCTCGAGGTTCTACTTATGAATCAGTTACTCATATACACTGCAAATCATCTTCATGATTCAATGTATCTGTGAGTTTATCAAGTAGGATAACGAGCAGCTAGTGCGCACATGTTGCAACCCAAGCACCTCAAGCAAAAAAAAATTTGAATTGAAATCTGAATGTGCATTGGAGATATTGGTTAGTCGTCCCGCGCCCGGCCACAAATTGTTAACTTGAATACGCTACAAAATTAACATCTGTAAAGTGGGAATCTTCGAGGGGTCAGTATCCACGATACATCGGCCAGTATCCGAAGCGTTCCCATGCAAGCAAGAACGATCGCAGGAACAGGTCAAGAAGGAAGACAAAACCACTTCACAATGAGAGGCTTCTACCTTTTTTCATTCCTATTCTTCTTTCATTTTTCTTTTTCCTGCTCAATCCCCACGATTTTCGGCTTATGAAAAGCATAAGCGGTAAGGAAGGCAAGTTGGATCCGTCGGTCATCCACATTCATTTTTAAACGCCTTCTCATATCGCCAAAACGAAGTTTGGCCTGCAGAATCTGTGCCACTAAAAAATATGGGCCACCAAGGACCAACGAAACAGAAAAAAAGACACAAGACTACACCCATAGTACAAACATCTTTATTGCCACCCAGTGAATGTTCTCTAGATCACTTGCCTGGGCTAAAGGAAAGGAAGTTTCATAGACTAGATGTTCTATTCGCTTTGGACTAATTCCTTGACATTGTTACTTTTATTATAGCGATTTTTACATTAGGTGTAGCACACGCTATTGAGCTGGAGACAGGTATGTAGTTCCTTTGAGCGTTGTAAGAGCCCTCTAAAAGAGACGGAGAAATGGGAACGGTGTCATCATTTAAACAAGACGAACAACAGTTGCCTTATATTAGGTTGGCGGGAAAGTTCTGTCACATTTTTTCAAACTAGGCTTTCTTTTTATAGAGAGGAGTGTAAGATCAAAATTGTACAGCAATGTTACTGCGGGGTCCTTGCCAGTGTTTGAGCACCTCATGGATGCCATCGCTTCACTATGCAGGGAGACACGACGCAAAGTTGGACACCATCTCAACTTCGACTTGAACTTGGGTTATGGAGGTTTTCTCGTCCGCATAACGATCGATTACGGAAGGCAACTTGCTATTAGAAGGGGCGATGTCTGTGCTACACAAGTGCAAGGGGAGAGAGATCAAGCTCCATTGCATGAGGTACGGCTCGAACTTTTTGGACCAAGTGCGTTGCACTATCTTGGTGAGGGCCGGCTGTGCGGACAAATTTTTCCCTCTGATCCACGATACGCCTTAGATCTCGTAGCTGCTTTGCGTACGCCTTGACCAAGGAAGCAGCTTCTTCATCCAGCAGTTTCCCGACCCATAGCTCCCTCAAGCTGAGTTTGCAGGTAACCCAAACCTCACTTCGTCATCAAAACTGTAGGCTCCCTAGGCTCCCGCCTTGAAGCGTCATTGTCGTGGTAAGGTTGCTTGTTCGCTAAGAACGTATTTCGGAACGGAGAGTGTCGCATTTCCCTCGGTGACAAGCAATAAGTAGAATCCAGCAATTTCAATCTCTGCAGAAGAGCTGCCTTTAGATGAACAATTGTCCTTATACACGTACTTCACACTTATACACATTAGCAATCCTATTCATGGATCGTTGCAAGGCTATCATTCATTCATTTCATTTCATTTTTTTTATCAACGGCATTCGCTATCATCATGCTGTTTTACGGCCTATACGCAGACGACATATTTGTCGTTGCGAGATCCAGAACAGCATTACGTCAAACTCCCTGGAGCTCCTTGTATGGCAACCTCAGCAAAACAATCG